AGGGTGGGGGTGGGTCGTCATTGGAAGTGTCAAGAAAGTTAAGTTCGTGGGTGGAGACAGGGTGACCGTAGGGGAAGAATTCGAATCCCTTCCTTTGAGTGTTCTACAGGTATTTATAGGAAGCTAGGGGGGACAGAGCATCGTGCATCCTCGTCAGGACACATTCTTGGGTGGTAGGAGGTGACTACCTCTGTCTTTTAGTGGCTTGTCTCATCCCTTTATTCCCTTGTCATCTAGCTAGAAAGGTGACTCCATTGTCGCGTAGCGTGTTGGACTGACTGTGTGAATATCTTCGGTGATCTTTCGTTGAAATCGGCTGCTACCGTCCAAATGATTCTGAAGCTATTCGTGCCGACACTTTTACATTGCAGCAACCTAGCCGGTAGGTTTATCTTTCGTACTTTGAAAGGCCAGTAATCTGCCAACTCGAAGTTATATAATCTGACCGGTTGATTTACACACGGCACCGATCAACTTTTAGAATTTAACCAGGGGTTTATCTTAAATTGAAATCTTCCAGGCTATCATGATTGTAATCTGACCGGCTACTTTATTCGGGCCGGTTTCGAACCGGTCCTGGGTGGAATACACCCATTAGCTAGAGTATTTACTAAAACAAACCTTAGTTTTAATAGGTTGAATACAAAACCACTCACAAGAATGTTGAGCTTGCCGTGAAAAGCGTCGGAAACCTTTTGGAAGAGGAGCGACCTCTGGTCTCTAGAGGACGCGTCGGAGACGGAACCGGAGACTTTAAGGCCTCTAGAAGCCCACTCTTTCAAGCTCCGGTTCAGCTCCTCCTCCTTCCTAGAGCACGTGTACACGCTGGCGCCCAGCTCCGCCAGCTCCTCCACGATCGCCCGCCCGACTCCGCGAGTGCCGCCGGCGACAAGGGCGGTCGTCCCGGAAAGAGACCATCTCGAACCGCCGGTGCTGCTCTCTCCCGCCGCCTCCGCCATTATTATATATTATTATTGAAAAGTTTCACCTGGAGATCAGACTGAAATAAATTCGATGGAGCAGAGGGTTGGAACTTGGAAGTGGATGATCATATATCTAATAATGATGACGAGTAATTCGATTAAAAGTTGTTAGGGTTTGTTGAAGGTTTATAATTTTAGGTAAGAGGGTTAGTTGTCGGAGTTGTTAAAGGGTTGTTACTTAATTGAGGTACAAGAGACAATAGGAGCCATGTAGTGAAGAAGCTTCATGGAGCTCACCTAGCGAGCAGCATGTTTTCCGCAACAAAATAAAATTTGAAATTATTTTCGATGAATTTTTGTTTTTTATTTTTTGAAATTTTTATTTAAATTTCTAAAACAACTTTCTACGTCAATTTCTTTTTCCTTTTTAAAAGATTAGTCTTATCTTATAAAAAAATAAATGAAAAATATCAAAAATGAGAAAAATAACTAAATCCATACAAAATTAATGAAATAAATAAGATAATCAGTCAATATTAAACTGAAATTGAAAAGAAACAAAATAAAAATAGAGCGAGTGAAGTGCTCTAACATTTACACACTATACAAAGTATTAATGTACTACTTATTCTTTGAAATAATGAATAAAGTTAGGATTGTTCTTTTTTTCTTAAAATAAGAAAAAGTAGTACATTAATGCTATGTATAGTGTGTAAAATGTTAAAACTCATCACTTCATATATTTTTATTTTATTTCTTACTAGTTTCAGGTTAATTTCTATTTATCACATTTTTTATTAATTTTGTTTGATTTTAGTTATTTTTCTCTTTTTCGTTATTTTTTATATCTATTTTTTTTACTTTTATCCAAAGTTAGACTAATCTTCAAAAAATTGAAATGATGGAAAGTAATTTAAAATTTTAAATTAAAATTTCATAAAAAATTAAAAAATTAAATTTATCAAAAATAATCCTAGTTTTTATTTTGTTGCGCAAAATAAACCGTTTCTGTTTACTCTCCGTTAGTAACTTAACGGTGAGCCAAAATTCATAAATTTTAGTAAAGTAGGTACTATTATGTTGGGTACCGTTTGGACTCCCAACTATGTGTTTTTAAAAGCCCATTTGGAGTGTAATACTCAAGCCCAATTTTTTATCCACTTTTGATGGCAAATTAAGGGTCTAAATTGTAGAGGGTACAGCTGGTTGGAATATACAATTCACGCACAAAAACATCCGCAAGAGAGAGATTTCCGCTGCTTTCTTCTTCAAATTGCAGGTCTGATTTTCTGGTCGATCGACCGGAGGTCCAAATCTTGTCCGATCAAGCTGAAATTTTAGGAGGAGTCTAAAGACTTGTGGAGCTTCAATCTGAACGGTGGAGATCGAATTTCAACAGTTCAATCTCAAATTATGAGCTTCGCACCAGCTGTAGATTCTTGGTGATTTCTTGCACTTTTGTTCCTCTATTTTGATTCTAGTGCCTTCGTAGTGTTGTTAAGCGCTAGATATCATTGTGGTGCTGTTATAATGTGCATTTGTACTCTTAATTTGGTGGTAGTGGAGTTGGTTGGACCGAAGGGTTTCGAGGTTTTTTTACTCTTTCACATTGAAAGGGTTTTCCACGTTAAAATCTCGTGCCTTATATTGTTTTATTTTTCAGGTTTGGATTATCTTGTTGCTTGGTGTTCTTTGGTGTGTTTGTTTGTTGATCCTCACAGATTCATTCACGAGGGAAAGATGTTGATCTTGAGCACTACACATTTATTTGTGTTCTTGCTTAGCTTTCCCAACATATTATGCATCATAATAAAAGGTAAGGTTGGATTATTTTTGAAAGACCGAATAAAGTTGAGATTATTCTAGATAATTTTCCTTAAAAAAATTAATATTTTAAAACAACCCTTTACACACGGAGTATTATATAATGATATACTCCGTAACATTTATATTGAAAACTCATTGTATTTTTCATATGACGAGGTAAATGCTTATAAATTTTGACAAAAAAAAGGTCAAACGAGAAGATCATTTTCAGAGAGAGGTAGAACTAGCGAGGAGGATACAATTCTATTGAGCGGATTTGGCTGTACTGTGTCATACACCCTAGTTTCTTCACGTGTAAATAATTGTTTATTATTACCTTTCTAGAAAGAATTGACTTAAAAAATAAGTAGCTAAGACATACCTTTGAAAACGGAGAATCAAACGAATTGACTTAAAAATAAGTAGCTAAGACCTACTAATTTTTTCTAGCTTATAAGCAGATTATAAATCAGTTTATAAGCACACAGAAAATGTCATCAGGTAATATATAAGTTAAAAACTATTTATAAGTAGTTTTTTCTAGCTTATAAGCACAGATAAACACCCACTTTATCTATTTGTTTACTTTTCCTAGAATTTTTTTAAAATTTATTTTCATTTTTAATAATATTTTAAAAAAATTCAAATTCTTTTTGTTTGAAACAAAAATAAAAATAAAAAAAAGTAACATATACTCCATCTATCTCAAATAAACATTTTTACCTTTTGTTTTTTATTATAATTTTTTGGTAGGTTCATAAAGAAAATCCAGAATAAAAAATATGGAAAAGCGCAATGAAAAAAAATGAAAAAAATAAGAATTTTTAATTTTTTTATTTCAAAAAACAAAAAATAAAATTGTAAATTTCAGACTTGTTTTTTATTTTAAAAAGAAATTTAAAAAATTTTAATTAAAAAAATAAAAAAATGAGAAGAACAAAAATAAATGAAAAATAAGAAATGAATGCTAGTTGCTAGTGGCCTATATATTTTAGAAAATAGGCATCAATAATTTCCCCTTTGTGAAAAAAATAGCTGGAAAATGATCAGAAAGTATATGAATGTAATCTTTTGAAACAAGAAACACTTCTGAAATACGTAGTACTCCGTAATTTTCAAAATAGGGCTTATTAATCCTTTTTTTCAAACGATGGGGGTAGTGGTGGTATTTGAGTGATGTTTAAATCTCAATAGCTAACAAAAGATTTGTTGAAATGTGGAAAAGTCGGTAGGTAAGTGAACTGGTCCTGCAACTACCATTCTCCGGCACCATCCTTCCATACGGCACCTTCTTCCATGGGCGAAAATGGCGGAGTGAGCAGTAGTACAAGTTCAAGATGGTCTCTATCTGGAATGACCGCTCTTGTCACCGGAGGAACTCGCGGAATCGGGTATCTCATCCAAACCCTAATCTCCATCCAATCGGGTCACGCATTCATTTCGAATTCCCATCTTTTCTGTCTAATTTCCGATGCCTGATCACAAACCTGCAATATGTATAAATAAAATAATCTTTTGTTTATCTGCTGCTTATAGGCGCGCGGTCGTGGAAGAACTCGCTGAATTGGGCGCCTCTGTGTACACGTGTTCGAGGAAGGAAGAAGAGCTGAACCAGAGCTTGGAAGTTTGGGCTTCTAAGGGCTTCAAAGTCTTCGGTTCCGTCTGTGATGTGTCTTCTCCAGAGCAGCGTGTCCTTCTATCGCAGAGGGTTTCATCCGCTTTTGATGGCAAGCTCAACATTCTCGTGAGTAGTGTTCAACACTGACATAATCTTCTCAAAGCAGTTTTGTTCATTTCTCTATGGAACTTATCTTATTGCATTCCCAGTTGCCAAATGATGGAAATGGTTTCTGCTTTTGAAAATACTGCTTAGACTAAAATGACAAGAACATGAAGACTAAGTTTGCCGTTCCCTGTTGAATGATAATGGTATTTAGTTTACATTGGGCGTGCTTCTTGTCAACTACAACAAAGCCATTAAAATACCACGGATGTATGGTTTGGGGAGGGTGTGGGTACGCGGACCTTACTCCTACTTGGTAATTCTACACTACCCAAGGCCGAAAACTTTAGAGTGTCTATAGCTAGAGTGCATTGCGAATACCGCGTGGTGAATGAGTCACATTTGCACGGTGTTAGGTTTTATTCATTTAGTTCTTCTCATTATTACTTTCTTGTGTCATATTTAACGCAATACCTTGCACCAGATACTTGGAGTCATCCCCACTCTAAATAGGGTACCATAGCCCATAGGGGTAAACTGATTATTGCTCAATCCTCCTACTACCAAAATGGGTGTTTATGGAGTGCTCTTCTTTCTACCATTTTGCATACCTTAACTCTGTGTGTCACAATGGGTACTTTGGTTCTCACCCTTGAATGGATTAACCTAGAGCAGTCTCACTGGGATCCTTAAGTTTGACGCCATTAGCTATCCATATATTGTTGAATTTTCAATTTTAGGGCTTCGGCCTTTAGTCCTCCCTCTTGTATTCTCTCTTTTATTAAAAGATATTTTGCTTAAGAAATTAACATACTTGGAGTCATCCCAAATGCACTCTTTGTCTTGTGGGGCTTCTGAAATGCATCTTGCTTATTCTCACAAGATTAACAATGCGGGGACAAACATTCGAAAGTCAACAACCGAGTATACTCCTGATGAGTATTCTCACATCATGGCCACCAACTTGGACTCCCCTTATCATCTCTCTCAACTTGCTTACCCTCTCCTGAAAGCATCCAGAGCTGGATCCATTGTCTTTGTTTCCTCTGTTGCTGGCTTGGAGCACATATCTTCTGGATCAATTTATGGAGCCTCCAAAGGCAAGCTAGCTGTGAAATCACTCCTTGTAAAGTTCCTTTAGTGTGCAATACTTATGTACATCTATTTTGGTTTGTATCGACAGGGGCTATAAATCAACTGACAAAGAATTTGGCTTGTGAATGGGCAAAAGACAACATCAGGGTCAATTGTGTGGCTCCTTGGTACATCAAAACCTCTCTTGTCGATCATGTAATGCATATTCTTCCACCTAAACCTCTCTGAAAACATAGCAAGAATAGTATCCATAAACTTCTTACCTATCAATGTTCAGTGAGCTTTTTCATCGAAGGAACTATACGAATTATGCCATAACTTTTGGTTCGTGCTGCAGTTGCTAGGGAACAAAGAGTTTCTGGGGAAGGTGGTGTCTCGGACACCTCTGAGGCGACCAGGGGAACCTCAAGAGGTCTCGTCGGTGGTTGTGTTCCTTTGTCTTCCTTCAGCTTCTTATGTGACTGGGCAGGTTATTGCTGTTGATGGTGGTTTCACAGTGAATGGCTTTGAAAGTTAAAAGGCATGTAAGCACCTTTGTATTGTATCCATTGTTCACTTACTGTACATTGCCAACCGAGCCTAAATGAGTCATTATTGACAATATTTTAGGTTCAGGCACTTCATGGACTAAATAAAAATGAAACATTAAGGCCTTGTTTGGGACCTTTTTCAAAATGTTAATGTTAACTTCTAACGTTGATGTCAAACGGAGCCTAAATGCCTTTTGCTTGTTTTTACTTACTAATTACGGATTACTACGGAGTATTAATCTATACATATCACATTATACCTTTCCCTAAAATTAAGTAATAGCAAAATTAGAAAGTAACACAACCTAAATTATACATTTCTTAAAGAGAAGGGATAAACTCACAACAACAAAAAATATAACAATTTTACAACAATTCAATTGGGGTACATATAGTGTCTCGTTCATAAAATTGATGGTTCTTACCTCTTTCTTCTAACATCTCCCTAAATCCCCATTTAGCCTTGGACCTCACCCCTCCCTTAATCACTGTTTTGGTAGTTTAAACTGCTAAAATAATGATTAAGGGAGGGTGTGGGGGTGCAGGGGGCTGAGGTGGGGTGTAGGAAGGTGTTAGGGAGTATGAACAATTAATTTTACGATCGGGGAACCGTAGATACCCCAATTGGATTGTTGTAGGATTGTTGTATGTAAATATTGTTGTAAGAAAAACTTGTCCCTTTCTTAAATGTCATTTTATCTAAAGTGGAAAATTTTTATAAACGGAGGTACTATATTTTCTATAAAAATCATAAAACTTTAAAGAAATATGAATTTGACACATTATTTATTGTGGTTTAGACAAAATTTGTTTTTTTTTTGTTCAAAACAAAATCAGTTTATATACTATAGCAGTATATCATCTAATTCGTTACAGTTAAAGACTTGAAGAGTCTTTATTTATTCTTATTTATTTATTTATTTATTTATTTATTTATTTATTTATTATCTCGTATTGGATTCTTGAATCTTCAAGGCCGGCCCCCTTCTTTAGCCGGTTGGGCTCAATGTTTTTCCGGGCCTAACATATTTGCATAATCGACTCAAGCCTGATGTAAAAGGCCTACTCCCAAAATAATCATCAACCTTATATTGCAACAAAATAAGCCTTAGAGTTTGTTCTCTTCAATCAATCTTTTATTTATTATTTATTTTTATTAAAATAAGAGAAGATAAAAAATAATATTAAATATAAATACAATCAAATTTGACCAGATCAAAATTTAATCGAATCATTCGAATTGCCTAAAAAGATTATGGTTCCAAATATTTGTCTCGGTGTAGTACTTATAATATTTGCGTCAGAATATTTATCTAATTTTAATTTTTTAGAATTCAAATGGATAAATTTTGATTAAAAACTAAACAAAATTAATATTAAATATTTATACAAAAAATTATTTTTTAAAATACATCATGCAAACTATTTTCAAAATATCAATTATTTAATTAATATACCATATAATTTTACTGTAAAATGTCAAAATTATATTCAGATATGGAAGAGGCACTCAATATACTTTTTCCATGTCCTATGTATTTATATTTTTGATTGATCATATGATAAAATAAAAATCTTGACATTTTATTTTGTAAAACTTTTTATGAAAGTTTTAATGAGTGATTTTTGTTTTTTATTGATATACTAATTAATAAATAAAATATATTAAAAAGATTGTTGTGTCACATAGATTCTAATTTATAATTTAAATTGGGATAGAAAAAATATATAAACCTTTCCCCCATTAAATTACTGCGTTTCTCAGAGTAATCTTTTTCGGGTCCACATTGCTCAAGCAGGAGATTTTCTATAACTGGTTCTTCATTAATTTTTTTTCTTTTTCTGGGTGCATTTCTCCACAATGTCTCGGACCCGAGTGAATTCGGGTCGTGACGTCGGAGGCCCGCTTAAGGTTTTGGATTCCAAAGGCGATCGTCTCACGCCGTCGCTGAAATTCGGCGTTCTGGTTCTCGCCGCCGCCTCCGCTTTCTTGGCGCTACACTCGGCGCTCACGGGCGGCACTCTCTGGTTCCGGCGGTGCCCGGAGTGCAGCGGGGCTACCCAGAATTTCGCCCCGGCACCCGAGATTTACGGTTCCATCCCGCCGACCGACATTTCCCACGTCGTATTCGGCATCGGCGGTTCGATCAAGACGTGGGATCGCCGGAAACAGTACTCCGAGCTCTGGTGGCGCCCGAATGTCACCAGAGGGTTCGTTTGGCTGGACGGAGAACCCGACCCGACGGACCTTCCGTGGCCGGAGACTTCCCCTCCGTACCGGGTATCGTCCGACTGGAGGAGATTCAAACACACCCACTCGCAATCGGCGGTGCGGCTAGCCCGGATCGTGGTGGACTCGTACCGGGTCGGGTCGGACGCGCGGTGGTTCGTGATGGGGGACGACGACACCGTGTTCTTCCCGGAGAACTTGGTGGCGGTGCTGGGGAAGTACGACCACCGGGAGATGTACTACGTGGGCGGGAACTCGGAGAGCGTGGAGCAGGACACGATGCACGCGTACGACATGGCGTTCGGCGGCGGCGGCATCGCGGTGAGCCGGGGGCTGGCGGCGGAACTGGTCAAGAAAATGGACGGCTGCCTGGACAGATACTTCTACATGTACGGCTCAGATCAAAGAGTGTGGGCGTGTGTAGGGGAGCTCGGTGTGTCTCTCACCAGAGAAGCCGGATTTCACCAGGTACGCTACTTTCTCTCCCAAATCTTTTTTTATATATCTATTTTTAAAATATTGTCACAGTTTGACTTTTTTGGTCGAATTACTACATATTTAGGATGCAAATTATGAAAAAATATACTACTTCCGTCCCATGAAACTTTTCCCGTTTAAAAAAATGGCGCGCCTTTGAAATGAATAATTTTAGTGCGGTTTTCATGGTTCTAAAGTACGGAGTATTTAGATAAATAGGAATAACTACAGAATAACTATAATTGTTTGATAGCGTCCAAAGAAAACTGTAGTTGTTGATATTGACTAAATTAGCGGCGTGATTAGTTCCAATAATAGGGAGTATTAAGGTTGTTCTGTTATTTACAACTGCTTATGCAGTTGGCAACATTAATTCAAAATCCTTTGGTCTAAACAAGACTAATTAACAACCAACAATTACACATTCACCCCTTTTAGAGAGTCCAAATGGGAACAGTTTTAGGGTTTTAACTTTATTTTTTCGCCTTAAGAAAACTCTATTTTTTCAAAAGTGTTATCTAATAACAAGATTTAGTTGTTTTGAAAAATAGCAAGAAACTCATATGTACGTATTAGTGCTTATTACATAATTTCTATTTGGATTAGTGAGCAATTTGTTACATAATTTGGAGTACATACTTGTTCAATTTTTATTAAAAACAAAATCCATAAAAGGAGCAAATAAAGTACTTTTTTTTAGCTATTTTCTATCTTCTTTTTTTTTTTGAAACTTTTTTTCCTTTTAATTTCAATAGAAAGAGCATAAAGTTATGTTTTAGTAGCCTTTATTTATTTATTTAGCACTTTACGTTGTTTAATTTGTTACCCTTTTACACGACTTTTTGACGCCGACATTAACGTTTTGACGCCGACATTAACGTAATTGGGGGCAACAACGTACAAAATACTCCGTATGATGCCGCAATAGTCCCAATATGTACACACATTTTGTCCTCTTCCTACGAAATGTGTAGTTCTCTCTATCTTAAGATAAAAAGTCCTTTAGTTAAGATTCATGAAAAAAAGACTAATTTAATAGTAAAACATTAAAAAAAGTATAAAAATAAGAATTTAATGTTTTTTTATCTTTTCAATAGTAGTACAATATCAATAATGTTAATATATACGGAGTAGTACGAGTACTTAAAAACACAATGGCATACCACTATATAGTGTCATAATACCATAATACGGAGTATAAATTTTTATTTTGAAATAAACATATGAAATTCCTATTTTGAGAATAAATACTATCTTTTGCTCTTACTTGGGATGAATTCTTTAAATTTCACAAATAATATACAAAATTTCAGCATAATTGTAATTCTGTTCTGCTATATCTATAAATTTTAATTTATATCACAAAAATACATGAATTTACAATATTTTTTCAACGGTGATCTAGTTTACAGGTCACCTTGTGGCCATCTGATACCAAATTAGAATTTTATAATTTACATTTTATAATTTTAATTTCATTTTCTTTAGCATATGTTCACTCAAACAATTAAAATAATTTACATCTTCATTCACCATTTTTTTGCTCAAGCAACTCTTTTAAGCCCATATCATATACGGAGTACTTTGTTTACGCATAGTTAACCGCATACGGAATTCCTGCTTAACACTTCATCAAGACCCGTCAAACTCATCATAAAATAGTCTCATGGGGTAAATTTAACCATACCCAATTTAATATTTGACTAAAGTGTCGTATAAGAGACAGTATTTCTCTTAGCTCAAGATGCCAAAAATGTGTCATACTCCCTCCGTCTCAAATTATTTGCAACATTTGCTTTTTCAGCAGTCGCGGGAACTTTTGTTTATTTCTATGTTTTCATTGGTTATTTGATAAAATAAAATATTCTTGACACCTTTTATTTCGAAAAACTTTTCATATAGTTTTTTGATATATAAATTTTATTTTTTATTTCTATACTAATATGTAAATAAAATGAATTGATATTTTGCATCGGGAATACAAGTGTGACAAATATTTAGGGGAGTATATAGTTGACTGGACTGTCTAAGGTTGACAGAGAGTGCGACACGTATCCTTACATTTCTGACACGTTAATTGTTTTCAAAAAAATCTATGGCCTTACATTTCTGACACGTGGCTTTGGCATTTTCCATCAACTTCCATGTCTTTTTTCCGCCAATAAACTTTACTTAATTTACTCCACATTTACAGGGTTTAATTTAACACATACATACTCCGTCATTAAATTTTGTTTAAATTTTAAAAGAGTATTTTGTGCCATACGTTTTTTATCATCCCAAATTAAATTATTTATTTACGATAGTTATTTAATAAAATAAAATAATTATGTAACCACTAATTTTGTAGATCTTTTAATGTAATACTGCGTACTTTAATATGTAATTTAAATTTTTGAATTCTATATCATTTTTTATATAAAATAATTTAAGTTAAACACTGTAAACCGAAACAAACAATTTAAATTAGAAAAAAGAAGATAATTAAGTGTGTTTTTTTATGTAAAAAATAGGTTAATGATCCGTAATTTTTTTATGAGAAAATTGTCTTTTCTGCTTATTCCGTTGAAAATCTACCCCTGCGGTCTCGTCTTTCACCGACAATCTTTATTAGGCTTACATTATAGGATTCTCAAATTAAACTTTTTATCTTTTTTACCAATCAAGAAAAAATTATCTTTTGAGATTTATGAAGAGGAAGGAATAAAGTAACCCACTCATTCCTTATAGGAATGAGTAAATGAGCAATTTATTTTTGACCAAAACACAATTAAAATCTAATTTTGAGACCGACAGAGTACTATTTATTCATTACTTACTTAAAGAAGGTAGTCCTACCGTCCACAAATAAAGTTTTTATTATGCGTTACGATGCTTAACTAAATTTATTTCCAAATCATTTTATATGAAAAATAGTATGAAATTAAAAAATAAAGATTACATTTTTAAAAATTGCATGAAAAAATCTATGCAAGTAGATGTTAGATAACTATTATTTTATCAAATAGGATACGAAAATAGGCCAACAAAGTGAATATAATTTGATGTTTTGAATAGTGAACGAAAACTTAATTGTTTGAGGGATATAGTATTTTTTTAATATGTTGTTCGAAATGAGATGATTATTTTGTGTTGTGATTGTAGCATCATCATCATCATTATTATTATTATTATTAATATTATTAATTTATTGGTGATATTACACAAATGTTCTCAGATGGACATAAGAGGAGATCCATTTGGACTTCTAGCAGCTCATCCACTGGCACCACTGGTATCCCTCCACCACCCTGAAAGTGTGAGCCCACTCTTCCCCAACCAAACCCAAATCCAATCATTCAAAACCATCTTCGCGGCGTACGAGACCGACCCGGCCCGAACACTACAACAATCCATCTGCTACAGCAACCGGCGGGCGTCCGTGTCACTCTCTTGGGGCTACGTCGTCCAGATATATCCCCGGGTTCTGACTCCCAAGGAGTTGGGAACGCCATTGCAGACATTCCAAACGTGGCGCACTTTTCGCAACGGGCCCTTCACGTTCAATACCCGGCCCGTGAGGCCCGGCCCGTGCGACCAGCCCGCCGTGTTTTATCTGGATTCGATCCAGCGGGGCCCGCAGGGCGGGACGGTCACGACGTATAAGAAGTTTGTTGATCGGACGCAAAGTAAGTGTCGCGGTATGAACTACAACCGCGCGTTTCGGTTCGAGAACGTTGTTGTCACGGCGGATATAATGGACCATGAAGAGTTGAAACAGGTGATGTATGGTGCCTCTTTTTTCCCTCTATCCCTTTTTTTTTTTTGGTGTTCCTCATTTTGTATCATTCAATACTTTTGACTTTAATTTTGAGACAACCCAAAAAGTAAATCATTGCCCTAATAATTTTTTGCTTGGCTATGTTTTTAAAAGGAGTGTCATAGTATGACACCAAGATCATGAAGGCACTCTACCGCGCTCTGTTCGACCCTTAAATAGTTCTTACTATTTTTAATCCCTGTAAATCTCCACCCCTTAGCCTAATTTGGGTGATAATCCATTGTCAAAATTCTGTCACATCATTTTGACAATGGATTGTCTCATAAAATTGAGGAAGACTAGAGGACTGAAGAGGGTTAGAGGGATATGAACCACTTCACGGTCTAACAGTGCACTGTACATAGGGTGCCATATTATGACACTCGTGGCAAGGGTCAAAAAAACCAATCCTTAGGGTGCTTCATTGGAGCCTAAAGTTGTTTTTATTCACCCTAAGCCCTCCAAAACCTCCCCTTTCTCCAAATTCGTTTATTTGCTACAAAAATCACTATAGCAAATCGATGAATTTGGAGGATGGACAACTTCAGGGTCCAACGACGCAACCTAGAGTCGCAAATAGCCAATGCTATAATATAACACTAAACCCAGTATTTAAAAAAACCATGTTGTTAAATATTAAACCCCTATGACTATTGTTATTTCTACATGCATTTTTTGTAATTTATGTTGTAAAATTACTTGCAGATGCGACGAAGACAATGCTGCGATATTGAGGAGAGTTTCTGGAGTAACGTCATGAAAATTAAGGTTAGGAGATGTAAACCGCGGGAGGCTTTGATCATCCCTTAGACTCTAGTTAGTTAGTAGAATAGTAGGTAGTGTAAATAATACTACCTCTTCCAGTCCCAAAGTTTGACGAATTGTGATTATCAATTGAATAAAAATTCCATTGTGTACTAACACAAAAACGAATTTATCAAATTAACCTTGTAAAACACCTTCAAAAAATCACACCGTTGCATTAATATGCAATGTAGTTTCTGTATAATCGATGATCATACAAAGTCAAACTAGACAAATACCTTGGGACAAAAAATGCATAGATCTTCTAAAGAAGCAGAGCCATGTGATATATAGAAGGGGTATTTCATTTGCACAAACTTGATAGTTGTTACATCTATATCAAGAGCATCTTGCTAGAAAATTTACTAACTTGATGTTACATCTATGGATAGCCAACGAATATGCATGCCGAGTTTTCTTTAATTGCAGAGCAATGTATCGCGTGTCGCGTTACCCGTTACAGGGTTTACCCTGATTCATAAACAGCACCCGTTGATTTTAGAACTATTAAATCCAATAAGATTTATATATATATATATATATATATATATATATATATATATATATACGATTCGGGAGAATTATACGATGGGACGAGATGGAGAAAATGCGTTACCCATCTGCAACTTTGCACAGGTATTCCCTTTGGTCTTCTCTCAAGGGAACATCTGTAAAATCTGCACCAGTTATAATTGCCCCTTTGAAAGATGTGTTTCCAGTTGCAAGTGCTCCTTCCAAGTTAGCATTGCTCAAATTTGCCTGCATTTTCCTTGCAACTTGTGAATTTTACTAAACTTCTTGCAACACCAATGTTTCATTTCATGCACCATGCCATTCTCTTTCGACCTTTTTTCAACAAAAAATAAAATAAAATCTATACCCCAAAAAAGGGTCACGATTATTATTATTGCTTCACCTTTGTTACATTTGCTAGGGAGAAATCGGCGCCTCTAAGATCAGAACCAGAGAGATCTGCCCCTACAACAACAACAACAATAAAACCAGTAAAGTCCCATAAAATATAGGGTTTCGGGAGGGTGTGTACCCAGATCATCTTACCCTAATTATCTTAAGGCGTTCTTAAATAAGGTCATATCGTGAGTAAGAAGACAGAAGAAGTAACTATGATACTGAAATTAAAACAAACTCAAATGGTACAAATTCTTTGTTTCAATAATGACAAGAAAGAAAAGGTAAAAATGGCAAACAAAGTGAGTTATAAACCTGTTAAATCAGCATCAAAGAAGCTAGCTCCTGTTAGTTTTGCTCCTTTGAAATTGGCTTGTCTCAATATGGACTGCAACAACAAGAGAAAAAATTGTAAATTTTTATGCCATTACTTTGGCACAGATAATCTTCTAACACAACCATACAATCAAAGCACACCCAAACACTTGGTGAAAAACCCATTGTCTGTGAAAGTGTGAAACACTAGTGGTGTCGACATTGGCGTCATCCGTGGTGTGACTCTTACCGTTTTGAAATCTTGCCTGATCAAAACTCTGCCACTAAAATCTTTCCCGGAAAGGTCTTGCCCTCTGGTCACCTCAGAACCATATGGACCTCCACCCTGTAGAATTGAAAAAGGGACACAAAAAGCTCATATATTAGGCCGTTAGTCCATATCGAATTCGAAATCTCCAAATATCACAAATCTCCCAAACAAGGGATTTCGATATCTCCCGAATTCGGATGATATTAAGACTGTTTATTTTGCCATTTTGAAATCATAAGGGGCAATCTTGGAAAAAGGGGGGGATTTTACCTTGAAGGCCAGAGCAGGATGAGTGGAAAAGAAGAGTGAAGAGGAGAGGAGGGCAATGAAGCTGGCAGTGGATAAAGATTCAGCTAAAGAAAAGATTGGATCTTTTGTTGGATGTAGTTTAAGAGTGAAAGGATGAGGAGGAGGAAGGGGATTGGCAGAGATTCGAGAAGGGTGCCGGAGATTATGAGGGGGAGTGGTGGTAGCGGCGGTGTTGGGAGGAGGGTGACGGCGGAGCTTGAAGGAGCACCCGCAGCTAAGAGCAACCATGGCGGGCTGGGGCTGAATGGATAATTACAAGTTTGCTGGGGTGTGAATTTCCTTTTTAAGACACCCAAAAAAGTAAATTCTCCCGTGAACCTAGAGTAAATGCCTATTTTATAGACTTTAGTGCATTTATAACACGAAAAGAGCGGTCCTTTAGCAAATAAGAAAATATCTACATGCAAGTTTATAAAAAATGTTAAAAAAAAAATCGTGGCTTGAGTGGATGGAATCAGGGGAGGGGGACAGGGCTGCAGTGGTAGTAAAAATCATTAATTTTTCAAGCACATTTCTACTAGAAATTTGAGTCATGGTATGACATTCAAAGTTATTCTCACATAAATCGTGTCGATATTAATTTGGGACAAAATACTTTCCTCAATAGAATTGCTTCAATGATGCCTTACTTAGCATGGCTTATTTTAGGCCCAATGCACCTTTAATTTTCACTGGCCCAACTACCAAGCCTTGAGTGTGCAAGTGTAGTGTCTTTAATTTGTACTGGCCCAATGAAGTTGTCTATTTGAATTTTTATTATTCTTTCCATTTTTTAAAACACTCTTATCCCACCTAAAATATTTAAAATACTTTTAAAAACGCGAAAAAAGTGAAATGAGATGTATGTTAAACACTTTAGGGGTGATAGAAATGTTCAGTGGGATGTACAAAAAATGAAGATAGAAAAGTTTAAAAAAATGGAGGGAGTAGATAATTATTCTTTAGATTTCACTAGTCTTTGAAAAATAAACTAAGCGATACATGAATTTAAAAAATAAGATTATATGATTGATATACATGTTCACAAATAAAATTAACTACGGAGTAAAACATACTTTATATATGAATTATGAACCACACAAAAATGATCAAACGTAAAAAAATAAAATACACTCCATATATGAACCACACAAATTAATGAAAATGAATTTAAATTAATTTCGAAAAGAATTTGAGATTTTTTAATTATTTGAACAACTAAGTTATGCGAAATTGTTGTTCTGGTCATCATCTTATTTCTAGAATTTAATTTCACGTTATCATTTTACTAGCATGTAAATTCCAATCTCAATTACGAGGATTACTCCGTATTTAAGAATATTGTCAAATACTTCTCTCGTCCCATAAAGATTTTTTATTTAAACTTTTAAAAAATTTAAAAGATAGATATTTTTGTATTGACTTTTCAAAAAAATCAGTATGTCATGGATAAAAGTAGAATGTGATGAATATATTATTAATAAAAAAATATGATGTGATATGTAAGGTAAAATTTAGTTAGAGTAAATATAATTTTTTGATAGACATAATTTTTTTAAGGATTTAGGCGATGTTCTCATCAACTTATTTTTTTTTACTTATTATTTGTTCTTACTCAAATCAGATCAGATCAGACCAGATCAGAAATAACTTTATATATAACTACATTCAGATCGTATCAGATAGTTTAGATCAAAATTTATTTCAATCAGATCAGGACTAATCATATCAGGTGAGGAGAACATGGACTTAATTAGGACTTGGCGTGACTTGTGATATGATAGGCTCAATTATCCATATTGTTTGATATAAATAATGGGAAGAATTTATTATTTTTAAATTTAAAAAGAATGATGAAAATGCAATTCTCCGATGCTAATTCTAAACTCAAATCGCGTGAATAATCATTTTTTTCCTTCATTTCTTTGTTTGCTTTCTATATTTCAAAATCAGTTATTCCTAAAGATTGAATTTATTTGACTTTATTTGAATCTCACTCAATCATTATAATTCAAAATATTACATGGTCCTAATGGATATTGGTTAACATTTTTTTTTTGTTCTTTTCAAATTTTTATTTATTTTTAAAGAGGCCCTGTTGTGTACAAGATTCAAACTATGAAATTGTCCAACACAATTCAATTTTCTGTTGTTTGATAGCACTAAATATGTACATCTGGATATGGTAGTGCCAAAAAATTAATTTGAATTGAAAAATTTAATTTTATTGAAATCAATATCATAAAATTTCAATACCCAATTTAATTCCAATTCTGTCAATTCCGTGTATTAAACAGTCCCTTACTTTTTTTAGTTGAGTGAATTTATAAGCTCATTTGTAGGTTTCTTTACAATTTTTACCTCACTCCTCTCTTTGAAATGTCAATTCATTAAACAGAGTTATAACTTGTGCTCTTTTCAATTTCTAATATTTTACGAATAAAAACTACATTTACATAGACATTTTAGTTATATATCATTCTTTAAATAAAAAAAATTAATACAAAAACCTCAAAAACACAAAAAATAAAAAAAGAATAAGAAAATTTGAGTTATTAGTGTTTTAAAAAATTTAAACACTAATAGGTTTAAAAAAACCTCAAAAACCGCCACCACCGGTACCGGTACCTCTCTCCGACCGCATCGGAACCGCCAATTCCAGAACCAATATGTATTAGAAATCACCCTAAATAGAACTAAAACATAAAAAAATATCAAAATAGGACTTTTATGTTTTTTTCCCGAAATAGGACTTCATACTGTAGTAATGCGGCACTGTACATATGCACATTACTATACTTTTTGGTTATGTATAATCTAAATGCATTTTAAGTTCTATTTCGAGAATAAAAATATGCAAGTCCTATTTTGTTATATTTTCAATATTTTAGTCATACTTTGGTCTTTCTCTCTTAAGTATCCAGCACGAATCTCACATAAAATGTCCAACCTCGGATACTAGAGAATAGCGTTGGCCGATTTGACCCGATTATCATGCCAATTGAGTTATTAGTGTTTAAAAAAGAAATATTTGCATTAAATAACACTAAAACTTAATTCATTTCTCTAAATAGCACTTAAGTTGTTTTATTCCCTAAATAGCACTGAATAAAGTCTATAATGACCATTGATGACAAAGATTTACTTGAATAATGACTAATGGATAATACTAAAAGTGCTATATTGGGGAAAAAATACATGTAATATTATTTAGAAAAAATTATTATATTTTAGTGCTATTTAGATAAATTCCTCATTTATGTTCATCAAGATAAGGGTTAGGGCTTAGGGGGAAGGAGAGGTGTAGGCTCTCTTGATTTGATAGCCCATTGCATATCTATTAAAGGCCAATCTCTGCCCCACTCTCTGCACCACCCCCACAAACAAACAATCCCTCTAAAATCATCTTCCTCCTTTCACTCACTACCCCTTTTTATCTCCACTCTTTCTTTCTTAACCCACTTCAACCCTACCTATAACCTAACCTTCCACACACTGTAAATCCATCTATCAATCAATCAATCTGCACACACACACACACAAAAACCCTAATTCAAATTGATTCATATGATCAAAAACTCTCCCAATTTCCTGCCCCAACACACTCCTCTGCTGATTCCTGCAGTCACCAGTCCATAACAGGTGTGTTCATCTTCAAGTAGATTATTCCAACCCTAATTCATTTTCACTTTGCCTGTTTCTTGAATTTTTGAACTCCAAGAAACCAAGAATTGTTGTTTGATTTCATTTCCAAGCTTCTTCCAGATCTCTTCCCAAGTTTTTGTTTTCTGGGTTTCTTAAAGATCCATTTTTTTTTCATGTTTGTGATTTATTGATTGGTATAGCTAGAAACCTGTCACATGGCTAATCCTTGGTGGAGTGGGAATAATGTAAATATGAATCAAATGGAGATTAGCAACCAGCTTGTGCTGATGAGGAGCGGCAGCGGGCAAGAGTTTATGCCCGCCGCCGGAGACACCACCAGTAGTGGGAGTCAGAACCGCGGAAGCGGCGGCGGCGCCCAAGACGAGGAGGAGGAGTACAACGGGGAGGAGCAGAACGCGGCCGCAGCTCCTTCTGGCCGGCGGGGCAGGGGGAGGCCGCCGGGGTCGAAGAACCGGCCGAAACCTCCGGTCATCATCACGAAGGAGAGCCCGGACTCGCTCCGGAGCCACGTCTTGGAGATCAGCGGCGGGTGCGACGTCGTCGGAAGCCTCGCCGCCTTCGCCCAGAAACGCCGCCGCGGCGTCTCCGTCCTGAGCGGGAGCGGAGCCGTCGCCAACGTGACCTTCCGGCAGCCCGCGGTGCCCGGCGGGGTGGTCACGCTGGAGGGAAGGTTCGAGATACTCTCGTTGTCCGGCGCGTTTTTGCCGGCTCCGTCGCCCGCCGGAGCCACCGCGCTCACGGTGTACTTGGCCGGCGGACAAGGGCAGGTCGTGGGCGGGATTGTTGTCGGGTCGCTTGTGGCCTCGGGTCCCGTGTTGGTGATCGTGGCCACCTTCACCAATGCGACCTACGAAAGACTTCCCCTGCAGCCGCCGGAGGGAGAGTGGGCCCCGCCGTCCCCCACCGGAGGACGGAAAACCACGGAGGCTCCCCCTCCGGCGGCGGCCCCATTGTACAACTTACCACTCAACTTGCTATCCAACAATGGCCATAACAATATACCCCATGAATTCTTTTGGTCTATTGACTCGACCCCTCTCCCACGCCCTCCGCCCTCGAATTATTAAGGGCGCGTTTGGGAGAGAGCGTTGAGATTGGAGAAGTCAGAGCGGTCGCGTAGCGTGGATGATTTTAGACCGCTCTGACGGCTCTAATTTCTCATCATTGGTAATATACGAAAAGAATTGTGTGTATTAATGTTTTATTTAATGTTTCTATGTTAGGAACCCATATTTTTTTTATGGGGGTGGAGGTTTTAGTAGATATACAAAACTTAAGATAGAGCAAGCTTGAGATTTTCTTTGTTAGACATTTTGTGTATTGTATTCCTCTAATATGTATATTACCCACTCATGTTTGAATGTTGCATTGTTATACACCTTTAGGCTTAAAAAAATCTTTATCCGATCTTTTTTTTCATCCGTCTCAACAAACTGTTCTCATTTCTATTAAAAATTCATTTTTACCTCTACTAATTCTTGACTTACCTATCACATTTAACTTTTTCACTACTAACCTAACCATCACATTTACTTTTACTTAATACATCTACGGGCATTTTTTGGAAAGTTAACAAGAAAATATACTCTCCTTAAATCTCTTAAAAATCAAAATAAGAAATGTTTTGTATGATGGGGAGAGTATTTGTTAGGATTTCTTTTGGGATGTGTGACACTAAATTTTAAACAAAGGGCAAACACAACAGCTTAATAAAAAATGAGCCTTATTAGAGGGAGTTGGCTTCCATCTTTTTAAGGGAACATATTTTTTTAGCTTGTTTAAATTTTACTTTTTAGATCGAAACACAACATATTTTACTAGGTTATAACAACAAAACATAAAAATTTCAATTTTTTCATACTTTTAACCAAACAACAGAGTAAAAATAATTTTATTTTTCACAAATCATTTTCTAAAAAATACTTTTGAGAATTCATTGCTCTTCTTTCTAAATGTACTCTAATTTAAATTTGAATTTATCACTATGCTTAGGATCTACCCCCTTTGTGTCCCAAATTTCTTTTTCTTTTTAGTTTGTTTGGCATTTAGTCTCTCTCTCCGAAAATAATCTTCATATTTCTTTTTTTAGATTGTTCCAAAATAAATTTTATATTTCTTGGTTTTCTAACAAAGGTAAAAATATGTGTCCCACAACTCTTAATTCAACTCTTTATGGTTATTTGGTGGCTTGTGGTAATTGAATTCAACCCATTTTTAAGCTGTAGATGCGGAGTAATTTGTGCTTGTCTTGGTTGAAAACATGCAACATTTGAATGTGTATATATTCCCCCCAATCCCAAAAAAAATAAACTTTCACTAAATTCGTTGAAATAAAAGTATAAATTTTATTTCAGAATAAAGTTAATTAATGTATATATGCACACACAAATAGTGTTACTTTAATTTTCTTTTAAGAAAAGAAAAGAAAAACCTTCAAAAGAAAAGTATAAATAACAATTGCACACATCCAAAAGTAGTTTGTAGTTTGTAGTATTTCATGTTACTGCAAATTTGAAAATTTGAAAATTTTGTCATTTATGATCTTGGGAATTTTCTCCCTTGCTAACTTGAGTTCATTTTTTGCTTTTCTAAAGAAATCAAGAAAACATAAAATTGTACGAATGATACTAAAAAGAAAGAAAAAACAAGAATGTGAAATTTAAACTAAATAAGACTAAAACATAAGTCATTTCCCAATTTAGAACTTAAAACTTTTTTATTCTCTAAATAAGACTTTTTAATGTCTAGTGGGATGAATAATGTCCAGTAATGATGGACATTTAGTTGAATAATGACTAATTGATAATGACTAAAAATACTACATTGGAAAATAAAAACATATGGCCTTTTATTGAAAAAGTCATTATGTTTTAGTCATATTTAGGTAAATTTTCTCAACAAGAATTATAAGAGTATACTTTTTACTCCATGTGTCCTAAGAAAATCTTTATGTTTACTCTTGATATGTTTAAACTTTTTTCTCTTTCTTTGTGCACTTTTTAACCTGTCTGATAAAATAATATATTCATTTCAACTTTTATTTTTGTAAAACTTTTGTTTAAATTTTTTAATAAATAAATTTTAATTTAAGTTTCATTGAGTTGAAAATAACTTTATCCAAACATCGTAAATCGTAATGTTAATCTTATTTTAAGGGAGAGGGAATAGAATGGGAACATTATTTTGTGTTATTCCAAAAAAAAGAAAATAAAAACTAATTTGATGATGAAACTAGATTATACTCCTTCGTTCCTAGAAGAAATATTCATGTTTTATTTTTTTATAAATATCATAAAATACTTCTATCCTGTCTCAAATGCCAAAAAAAATTTAAAGCCACTTCTATCCACAATAAAGAAGATTTGAAATATTTTATGAAATGCATAAAAAATAAAATAAGAATATCTTTATGAGACATAGAGGGTATGCATTGGGAATTTGGGATGCATGGAATCCTAATGGGGATCGGTGTGAAGAAATATATAAACTCCCTATATCTACAGTGTGTGTCTCAAGCTATGGTGTTGAGGTATATTTTGTGCTGATTTTCGTGTTGACAAAGAGTGTACGATATTTGTCCATTTGATCCGTGTTTGGGACTAAAACATGGAAGAAATATCTAATTCCGGCCAAAAGTTGGTTTATATGCTCATATATCAAAATATCTAAATTTTATGGTGGATTTAAAATGCACATAATTGAAATTTTTTGTAAGATTAACTCTCATTGAGGGAAAATATATAAACAAGGAAATAATATTGTAAAAAGGAATCCTATACAATAAGGAAACAACTATACCAAGTATACATAGGATTAAATATGTAATCCTCAAAAATATTAATTCCCACTTTTTATTTTTGAGGTTAAATTCCCATATTTGAGGTTAATCCTCAAAAATATTAATTCCCACTCTTTTAATATTAAATTGACATATTTAACCTCAAAAATAAAAAGTGGGAACTTTGTTACAAGGCCACTTTCAACTTTCAAGGGCAAAATTGTTTATTTAATACTGTATTAAAGAAGTGAATATATCTAAAATGGGAGTGGATATAGCAACACTCAAAAATATACTCCTTCCGTCTCATAAAGATATGGACAGTTTGACTAAAATGGTAAAATAAGGAGAGATAATTTTGTGTTGATTTTCCAAAACTACCCTTGATGTGATGGGTAAATGTAGGATGCGATGTGTAGATTATTAGAAAAAGGGTATGATGTGATACGTAAGGTATGAAAAAGTAAGGGGTAAACGTGATTTTTTAATAGAAATGAAAATGACTTTGAGGGACATAATTTTTTTGAAACGAGAATGACTTTATGGGATTGAGGGAGTATATGTTTTATGGTTTAATATGACTTTCATAAATTAGAACCAAATGCAGATATATATATATATAGACACACACACACACACATATATATATATATATATATTAGATCAGATGACTACGAATACCATTATTGATTCAAACATCTGTCAAAGTCCGTATCAAAATTCAATATCAATAAAACTAAATACTCCCTCTGTTCCAAAAAGATTTACACGTTTCAAAAAAATTGTGTCCCACAATCCCTTACCCATTTCTATTAAAAAACCACTTTTACCCCTTACTTTTTCAAACCCTACCTATCACATCATACCTTTTTTCTAATAATCTACACATCACATCCTACTTTTACCTATCACATTAAGGGTATTTTTGGAAAGTCAACACAAAATTATCTCTCCCTTAATTTCAACTTTAGTCAAAATGGGTAACACTTTATGGGACGGAGGGAGTAGATGTGTACATCATAATATCACATTTTATCTATTTTCCCTCTTTAGATCTCCTTTATTACTCATTAACTCTAAGTATAGAAGTATAGTTAAAAATGAGCGGTGATCTCAGAGAGGACGTTTAGTAAGGTGATGAGTGGATTCGGTGAACACTCCCGGAGTAGGCTTAGGCATCGGACGAGGAGTCAAAGTGACTTGATTGTCTTAATCAATTGGGAACGGCCTACTAGAAGGATAAAGAACCTATCTATGAGAGCGGAAAACAATTAGAAAAAATACCAAGATAGGAATAATAATACCAAACGCAAACACTTTTTTACTTGGCAAAGAAGTAAGAGAACCACCTGCAGAACAAAAACAGGGATTATATTCGGCAATGTTCGGCTGACACTGCATCCCAATGTCAATGGATGACACTCGCTCATTTAGAGCTCCTCTGATGCTCTAAATGAAAAATTGACGCTTCCTACCCGTAACCCGACCCGTATTCACATTGCTAATATAACCACCATATTATTACCCATTATTTTGTTAGTTTCGTTTGAAATTGTACCGCCCGGAAAAGTGGAAGCACGGATAAACTGTTTTTCCAAATAACACAAAGAACTCAATCTCCTTATTAAAGGCTTCCGTATATTTAATTATAAGTAGTTACATTGCAGTTTATAATAATCCTCCCCAAGAAATTAATCAAAAACATGTTTAATCCTCCATTAATCCTTTCCCTTCTCATCATCTCCTTCACTTCTTCTTGGGCAGATGCAAGCATTCAACTCCTACTTGTGAACAACTGCAAGCAGATCTTATGGCCCGGAATCCTCGGGAACGCCGGGCACGAAACCCCTGAGAACGGCGGATTCCGCCTCCCCTCCGGCCATCGGGCGGCCCTCAACCTGCCCGAGAGGTGGTCGGGCAGAATATGGGCAAGGCAGGGCTGCCCCTTCGACGACGACGGAGGAGGCAGGGGGCCATGCCAGACCGGCGACTGCGCCGGCCTCCTCCGCTGCGCCGGCACTAGCGGGGCCCCGCCGGCCACGCTAGTGGAGATGACAATGGGGACCGCAATGAACGACGACCACTACTACGACGTCAGCTTAGTGGACGGGTTCAACGTGCCGGTCTCGGTGGTCCCCACGAGCCACAGCACCGGAGACTGCGGCCCGGCGGCATGCGTGCGGGATTTGAACGCGTTGTGTCCCAAGAATCTGGCGGTTACGTTGCACGAGAGGGTGGTGGGGTGCAAGAGCGCGTGTTTGGCTACTAAGAATCCCAAGTATTGTTGCACCGGAGAATTTTCCGACAAAAACGTATGTAAACCATCGATATTTTCGGAGATGTTCAAAAATGTTTGCCCTCACGCTTATAGCTACGCTTACGATGAATCCGCGGGGCTGAAGAGTTGTAAGGCCCCGCGGTATGTCATCACTTTCTGCCCCTAGAATTGAAGGGTATATATTATGTCCAGCCACCTAAAAAATGCTAACCATGCCATAACTGAACTTGTTTTGGGAGAATTTCGTTTGGTTGATTACCCCCTCTTGAATAAGAATCTCTTGAGTGCTTTCAAATTCAATGGTAAAAAAAAATGTCTTGTCAACAATAAGTTCACAAATTAGAAGTCACTAATTCTTACAAAGATATCCATGTTCTTGGCAACTATGGTTTATATGCAAACTAGACTTGGTGTACACCAAATTTTTTTAACCCATAATTTTGGAACAGTACAGAATAACTTTGAAAATACTAAAACTAGACACTGAATTTGTGGTCAAATGGGCACAAAATAAAATAAAAAAACAAAAGGTTTCCTTATGAAACAAAAGTTATTACAAAAGTTAATATAAGATCATACATATTCAGGTAAAAGCCTTTTCTTTACAGTCACAGACAGACCTAAAGGCATATAAAACTCTCTTTTTTTCCCTACTACACATATTTTTACAGCCTTAAAATTAAACTATTACAAAAATACCTTTTAAGCTCCCCTTGTAAGGACCATAGACTGTTTTACTGTCCCTCTGAGCCAATTATAGTAATGATTTTAGAGGTTAAAATGAGATCTCATGAGTTAGACTATAGTCCTGTCTAAAACCTGAACATTTTTAGAGTATTAGAAAAACCCAAGAAAAGAGACAATCTTCCATAGTCATAGTCCTCTACTTTTACCTGTACAGTTTCCTTCCTAAGCCATCTGAGCTGCTGAGTATGATGAGAGAAACTCTATCCTCCTCTCTGCACAATGGGAAAGTTAATGTTTCAGATTTTTCGGGTTTAGACAGGAACGCCAATTTGTAGGATTAAAGTAGTTCTCGGCCCTCTTTTATATTCTTCAAAAAGATTCTTTTTTTTTCACAATTTTAGCGATTTCAGCCAAAGCAACAGAATTTTTCGTAGAAAAAGAAAATGGGAAGAGAGAAAATTACCTCCAGCTGCAACTAGTTTCTCTACACGGGCGACTATGTGCTTTCCGTAGGTATATTTCTTCAGGACATTCAAGTGAACCTTTATCCGGTCCAAGATCAGTTCAAGCTGATGGTCATCACAAGTTTCCAGCACTTTTTGCACAACATAGTTTGCAAATTGATCTTTCATCAACACCTATGCATGGTTTGTTTGAAAAGTAAAGAGGAAAATGAATACATTTCAGTGATTATAATATAATTACACAATATTATGCAGACCTACATACATTATCCTATGTTGATCTTAAAGTGTTCCAGAATTTAATAAATTAAATAATAGAAGAAAAACAATTCTTGTCCCTTTGAAATCTATATGTATTCATACGGCTTAACTTTTTTCAATCAAATTGGATGAATTTTGATCATCAATTAAATGAAAATTGCATTAGATAATAATTCAAAAATGATTTTATTATATTTTTCTTGTAAAAAACCTTCAAAATACTACTCCCTCCGTCCCAAAAAACTTTTCTCCTTTCTTTTTTCATCCGTCCCAAAAAAACACTTCTCATTTCTATTAAAAAGTCACTTTTACTCCTTCCTTTTTCATACCCTACCTATCACATCATACCTTTTTACCAATAATCTATCCATCAAATCATACTTTTACCCATCACATCAAAGGACATTTTTGGAAATTCAATACCAAAATACACTTCCCTTAAATCCCTCTTCAAAATCAAAACTCCCATGTTTTCCGGGACGGAGGGAGTATTTCATTGTATGCAATACAATTTTTATTTACTCCCTCCATTCCTTTTAATCTTCCCCCTTTTACTATTCGTAAAGGTCAATCTATATCTTCCTTTCTTACCTATTTTTGAAAGAAAATAGTCATGTCACATTACTCACATCTTGTTTTGTAGAACTTATGTTGTAGTTTTTAAATATATAAATTTTTATCCTTAAAAAAGTCAAACATCATAATCCAAAACAAGAAAATTAATTAGAACGGTGGGAGTAATTGATAATCAAAGTATGTCTAGTTTGACTGAAAAAAATCACACTCACAAATACACTGGGATCACAAACCTGAAGAGGGTCATTTTTGTCGCTTGAGCCAAGAATCTCGTTCACCAAGAGCTGACGCTCCTCTGGCGTTCCATAAGTTAAGCATTTCTCCACAACATTGGAGGCATACTTTTGCTGGCTCATTTGAAATAAATTGCCCATCATTTTATCAATTATAACTGACCTTTGATCTGGCCTTCCGTGCACTAGTACATGCTGTCACAAAACACATTCAATGAGGTGGGTCTAACAAACAAGAATACACAGATTATGAATGTTCAAAATTTCAACGAGGGTCTGATTTAGAGCTCATGCTACGTGGACACAAAAGCTAATTTAGAAACATCAGAAAATTCTAAAATTAAACGCTCACACTGATTTATTACAACTTTACAAGTACTACGAGGAAGTATACAGTTTCCTTTTCCTCGTGTCCTGAATTATACTTTATATTATATTCCCTTTTTAGGGAAGGAATGTGTGGCTCATAATACCTATCTCACTTCTAAACAAATTCCAACCATGCATTTCATGCTTCAACATTTTTCTTAAATGATGTCAAATTAAAATATAGAATTGATTATGGGACAGACGAAGTATATTACAACTAATTAAAAATGCAATCTAAGTTCAAGATCACAAGGTAACACCTTTTGGTAAAGTGAAATTTGAAGGGAGGAGTAGGATTGGGTTAAGGAAACTAGTAAATTTCAAGAAATTTAAGAGTCGAAAAATAACATTGCTTCCATAATTGATATATGTCTATATTGGTGACCTTAGGTCAAACAATGATTCTGTTAGCGGTGAAGCATCAACGTAAACATACAAAAATTCTGGAAGCAACAGTGTCGTGTATTAGATCTCAGAGAAATTATGTAAACCGCAAAATTTTGGGAGTAATGCTATGCATTTCTCCAAAAAAAAATATCGTTCCAGGTGTACTTTAGCTTGCATATGCAGTTACTAAATAAGCTACTTTTGAAGATATCACTCTAGATATACAGATAAAAAAAAAGTTATAGAAAGAAAAAGTATACATAAAAGCAGAAAGGATGACATATCTACTTCTAAGGGATGAAGCAAACCTGAACAACATAATTCCCATATTGATCTTGTGCCAACATGCAAACCGATTGCAAAATCTCATGCATCACTTTGCTTTGGGTTTGAAGACTATGGCAATGTTCCAGGACTCTCTGTTATAAGACACCATTATTTAGATTAATATAATTCCTTCAAATTTACATCATAATACCGTCAAGACATCAACAGACAAATCCTCCTCAAAAGCTAAGGTAATAAAATTTTCTAAATTTTCCTGACCTGAATTACCCGACAGCCGTATGGGTGGGTTGACAATGTCACAACTTGATCATAAAACTTAGTGACCATAAACTGAATAGTATCTTCTGGAACGCATTCAATGCACTTTTGGATTACATGATTCCCATTTTGATCGCGAACACAGCGCATAACGTGTCCATCAAGCTCTGAAACCATAGCAGTCTTTTGGTCCAGCTCAACCACCTCTATAGCCTGTAGTTTCAAACACCCATTCCAAGTATAATTTATAAGTCCAGATTTATTTCGAAGGACAAACACCCATTCTACAAGTGCAAAAGAATCACCATGAAAGTGAACTCATAAAATTGCAAGTTCCATAAAAATTCCTATTATTGACTCTACTTTCTAAATTGCAAGATCCTTAAAAGATGTATCCACAATATGTAGTATGCACACACATATGAAAGATTTGTTTAATAGATTTCAAAGGTGCAGCCAAATTAGATTTTGAATATAAACACAAATAAAAAAAATATGTCAACACACAACATAAAAATTGTGTTTAGAATTTTTTTTAGTCCAACTTCTAGTCAATTTGGCCTTGTTGCTTATAGTCCCATAACCCAGAAACACATGAAACCCCGCCTCAGAAGAAGCACCAAAGATGCACGCAAGGTGCACAAACTGTGCACATTAAGTATGTAATTTGAAGCAACAGGATCCCAAGATACCTTTTGGATGACTCGGCAGCCATACATTTGAAGGCTAAGGTCCAGAACATGCCCTGTCAGTTTGTCAGCCATTGCTCTAATCTGAGATGCACTTCCAAGTTCAAGGAACTAAGAGAGGAAAGCACAAATAGAATGTGAGAGCCAAATCAGCCATTGGAAAAAGACCACTAAATAACTCTCCATGCCAACATAGGTATTGCATGGTTGTTCACAATATACAAAAGGAACTCTCATAAATACATACCTTTTGAACCACATAATTACCAAACACATCAGTCATTAAGGATAGAGCTTGAGGCATAATTTCAACAAAAACCATATTTTTTTCTTCAACAGTAGCAGTTTCAAGTTTTTGTTGAATGAACCTACTTCCATACTGATCAGCACTGCACAGAGAAAGTTCACAATGATAATATCAGGGGTCCATTTTAAATGTGATTCCTTGATTTAAAAAAAAAAAACAAATGGTATACTGGATACCTGAACTCAATAACATGACCGTCAATCTCTGATAATGCAAAACATCTAGTTTTATTTAATTTAAACTCCTCTAACAATGAGGAAGCAAAATTTCCCCCGATATTAGAGGCTGGATCATACTGCCACACTTCCATTGCACCACCAGCTAGATTTTTCATCCCTGGTGGAAAATGCATGTCCCTTTCCCCACTCCTGAAAGGAGTGCCAAGTCCATAAGAGGAACTCGGAAAGACTTGACCTGCCAATGGGCTACGAGGATATATACCATAGTAACCCTGATGATCTAAGCCAACATTTCGGCTAAAGCAAGGAGGGCCATATTGTGATCTCTGTGAGGAAAGCAACGCACTTACATAGGCTTTCTGAAGTTCAAGCAAATCCATATGGGAACTTCCTTGAGCTGCCCGGTTGAAGGCAGCAACCCGGCCAGCAGCTAATTCACTTGATCTCAATGACTGAATATCTAAGTGGCCCATTGGGTGATTTTGAACTGAACCCCCAAAGCTCAGATTCCCAACTCTAGAAATATTCTGCAACTCTTTTGGAGAAGGTAAAAAACTAGGCTCCATGTTCAAGCCACCTCCAAATTCTTTAAAATTAACTCTAGACGCACCAATCTCTGACCCAGAAAAACTAGCATCATATGAATTAGGCAAATTAACACCTCCACGCTGAGTTTTCAACATGGGTGGTGACTGAGGACTCGTACCATAACCAGAAAACGGTATATGTTCGCTAAAATGGTTCTTTTCATTAGGAAAATTCAAGAAGCTCCGTTGATTGTCGACTTGGCG